TTTGGCATGTTGTCAGAAGTCAGGTTGCACTTCAAGTGAAGGTCTGGTTTGCTGGGGATCTTTTTATACACACCTGGGATTATGTTAATTACAGTATTTTCACAGGTGAACCTCAAATCTGTGATTGGTTGAATCATTAAAAGACATGACAAGACTTTTGTCCTTGCAAAAACAGGTGTTATGGACTTTAACAAGCTGTGAACATCAGGACACTGTCTGTGTTCTTTCGCAAAGGCATTGGTTTGTATAGCATGGGGCATGATTAGCTTCTTGTTAGGCTTTTCCCTGTAATGGAATGAGAGCAATTAGGAACGCTTAATGAACAATTAGAGAGAGACAAGGCTGGAATGACACCGGGATGAAATAAAGTTTTATGCGAGTGGTGCAAGGCAACAAAGGGCAGAGAATGGGGAAAAATGTTTTCATTGAGACTGCAGTTTCAGCAGGCTTTATAACAAAAATAGTAACACTTTACTTGACGAGGCAGAAGTAATATAGTATTATGGTATTACTTAAGTATTAATTAACCACAACCTAAGACGTAGTTACATGCTGATCTCATGTTTATTCATCATGAATAAATCATGATACATCTTTTAACCCCAGCAGTTATTATATTTCTTAATATATCTGTTAATTCTGGGAGATTTTGTGAACTACTGAAGGAACAAGTAATGAATAACACAAGTGAAATACTAATATCATGTTTGTTCATCAAACATGATGCATCTTTTATCTCAAGGAGTGACTATATTTGTTCATGATTTGTACTTCAGTAGTAACTGAGTTATTACTAAATATTTGTGCCCCGTCAATTAAAGCATTAGCCAAAAGTCTAAAAATCTGCACCTAAGTGAATTGGTGTTTCTAAATTGCCATTTAATGATGTGTGCCATGTGAGGGACTGGCATTATGCCAGGTGTGCCTCCTGGGATAGTATAGGATTGTAGTTGATGCAATTGTCACACTTGTTAGTTTTTATATTTGGTGAACCAATATATGTAATGTAAACAAACTAGTTGAGCCAAATTAAATATAACATACACTGTATGGCAAAAGTATTTTTTTTGCAACATATTCATATTTTAAATTTGCATAATTTTGACAGGAGATATTTTTATGGAGAGCAAAATATTTTAAGTTAAAGTTTATTTCGGAATAATATTGTATCCTGTCTGTTTCGATTCATATTTATGTTCAAAAAACGTTTAGTTTTAGTCTGTTCAATAAATGTTTATCCTGTTCGGCCCGCAACCTAAAGTGTGCTTTGAGTTTTGGCCCCCCCGTGTGATTGAGTATGACACCCCTGCTCTACAGTAACAGTTGCAAGAATTCTAAAGATCAGAAACTAGTGTATCCTACTGTCATTACATTAGTGATTAATTTCAGAAGTAGTAAGAAAATAATTATTTTCAGTCATTATTACACAAATAACTAGTCAAGCACACTTATCAAAAGAGTTAATATATCACAAAAGCATTCATTAATTTGTGGAAACTATGCAATGTAACACCCAGTAACCCAGACCAGGATAAGTGGCTGGAAGACGGATAGATAGAAGGTAAAAACTTCATTAATGCTAATGTTTGTAATTCATGGATCCATACAACACAATGGCCAGCTTTAATCTAAAGCATGTTTTGTGGATGTAATGAATGTAAGTTGTAAACATGTATAAATTTAATATAAAAATGTAAAGACTTAAAACACTAACAATTCATAAAAAAAATCACATACTTTTTGAAGAAAAAATCCTCACGTAGCTTCATTGTTGTCACTAAAAACAAAATGCAACATTTTAATTTGCTAGAAAAAATATGATCGTGATGAAAATGACATTTTTTGTAATTGTTGAAAGGAAATTAGTGAAGAATACCAGGATCTCGTTCTGCCTGTCTTTCGCTTTCTGTCTGATTCTTGTACTGGATGCTGGTCAAAGGGATAGAATATTACTTTCTAGACAAATAAATCTGAAGAAATATAACTGATAAAAACAGGATCTTTAAGAACAAAATCAGAAATGCCTTTCATCAGTACTAATAACTACTAACAGTATTATTGTATTTAAAAAAATCATAGCAGCAATTCAACAAAGAAAATAACTTACCTTCAATATTAAATTATCTGTAATTTACAACAGAAAAAAACAATACCCACATCACTTGAACTGCTATTAAAATAGAAAAAATTTAACAAATGTACAAAGTAGAAAACATTGCAAAGCTACTTCTGAAAACTCAGAAAGACATTGACTGACCTTTTGCATAAAGTAACAGAAATAATCCAATTAAAGCAATCAGAAATAATGTGATGGCAAAATACAGAGAAATTCTGTATCTTTCGGGTGATTTTTGGCAAACAACGTCTTTCTGTTTGCTTCCATCTTCAATCTTCTCCTCATCATCATTACAGCTGAAAATGAACAAAATTATTTAAATGACTGGCAAACATATGAAACACTGCACATTCATGACTGTTACTTCATGAAACAAGTGAGCAGAAAGCAGAGACTGACAGGTATAACACTCCACTAAATTACAAAATCTCTCACATTTAAGAAAGGCTTACTCACCTTGTCCATGGTGTACAATTTACACCCTGTGTTGAGTAAGAGCCGGATGGACAATCCTCACACTCCACATCTCTCGTCTTTGATCCTTCAGAAGTGAGTAATTGTTAATGAGCAAAACTCATCATCAGCCAGCAATAGCAGCTCCTATGTGTTTTGTTTCTTTCTGTTGTTTTATTAACTTGGGTGTGTTGCTTTAAGTCTGCACAACTTTAAAAGTTTCAACATGAAATTCAGCAGGAATGTTATCTAAGTTTTCGGAATATTTTCAACTATAAACTGCAGAAAGAGTAAGGAAGGCTTGCTGTTCTCCTGCACAAGGTAACAGCTGCTGGCCCGGTTTCTATTGTCTATCTATGCAACACAGCTACCAATCTATCAACAGCTGCCTATAGAGCTGACAGTGCTAACAAGGTAAAGGAGCTGTCCAGCTTGTCTGGCTTCTAAACAAAAACTAATCCAGAATTTAAAAAAATAAAAATCCCCCCCGATTTACATTCTGGAATGGCCCTAACCCTAGTGTGACGTTTAATGTAGGTCAGCTTTTCTAGTTAATCAGTATAGTTTTCTTGGCAACAGTTAAAGCAGTGAGCATGGGTTTTCAATTTTGGATTGGTCGGTTAATTATCGAAAGATCTCCAAGTAAACAGAGGGTTGGAGATAGTGGAATACTACAGTTCTATACAAGAAAATCTCTGTTAATGACTTCTTGCCCAAAATGCTGAACAGGAGGGCAGAAGCAGGGTCATAATAGTCATCTTGGGTAATAGACATGCAGTGTACACATATGTACAGAAAATGAATGGATTTTAGTTCAGTCTTTAATTGGAGGTACTGAAGGAGTGCTTCTATCCTGATGTCGTACTTCTTGACTAAATATTGAAAAGTAATGAAGGTGTCATTCTGGAAAAGGTGTTGGAGGTGTGTGACGCCGCTTTGTATCTGTCATATCCCGCTCCGTACGATCCCGATGTGTGCCACGCCCCCCTCATTACCTCGTGTTCAGCCCTGATGGTTCTCACCTGTTGCCTGTTCCGTTTACCTAGTCCTGTGTATATCAGTCCGCGTCTCCCCTTGTCTGCCAGATCCGGCATTGTATTGTCGTGCATTGTCCGTGGATGTCCCTACTCGTCTGTTCTGAGAGCAATAAACCTCGTTTTCCCGAAGTTTTGACTGCTCTCTCCTGCTTCCCTGCACCGCTCGTCCGCTGAGCGTGACAGTATCCATGTGTTAAACTGTTTTTTTGTTGAATATAAAGTCCAGGTTATGCCATACTGGAGTGTATTTACAGGGTCTCAGTGTATGTTAGAAGTTTTTGCTGATTTTCAACCAGGCAGTCAAACTTGTCGCAATTATGATGTTATTGAAGCAGCTGTGGTTTTATAGTAGTACTATGGAATGGAAGATCGGAGGCTGAAATTTCTTTACATTCTGTTTGTTCTATTTCTAGCCATGAGCTGTTCTGATAGTTTGGGTGAATCCAATTGCAGATATACCTTAGTGGATTTGCCAAATAACAATTTTGAAAATCCTTCTTGAATTTTATGTTTCTGTAACATGACCAGTTCGATTCGGGGGTGTTTTATTTTTCCAGTAGAATTTGCATATTATGGAATTTAGTGACTTGAACCATTTAGTGGTAGGCTGGGTCGGCATTCATTGTGAAAAGGTAATTGATTTTTGGTAATGTATTCATTTTTATAATTGCTGTTCTGACAATTAATGAAAGCGGTAAGTTTATCCAGCGGTTTAAGTCATTTTTATTGTTGTTATTAATGGAGTAAAATTTAGGTGAAACAACTGCCAGTTTCATGGAAATAATTATACCCAGGTACTTAATGTGACTAGTGGGAATGGAGAAAAGTTGGTTTTCAGCTGCGTGTTTCCAGTATTCACCACACATGGGGAGAATTGTTCATTTATGGTACAGTTTAATTTTCTAATTTAGCTGTCTTTCAATGCCCACTCGATCCTGGACAGGGTTAATATGAAGCTGAATCTCTTTGTTGGAGCCAATTTACAATTTACAAGTTTTACTTGTGCCTTGTGTACTTAAGCTGTGGTTGAAACTCAAATGTTGGAACCAAGTAAGAAACGTTTTTCAACCATGATATTTAGACTTGTATTTATGCTTTGTGACAAGTTATACCTAACCTCCAAAGAACATTTACATGTATTTGTTATAAATGATGCCATAACATATAAAGTGAGAGTAGGCAAATAGCATAATACTAAAATACAGTCATCGAGGAGTCACCCAGGCATAACAACCATCCCCAGACATTACCAGCTCCAGTGCACTGGCAGGGTGGAGTGTCGTACAATTAATGACCCCTCCTCCATTTGCTACTTCCTCACTCCCCACCCACCTGCCATATTACACCTATGACACTGAACTAAACTGCACTCTATTCATACATTATTTGTATATCCACATTTATTGTGTACTGTAATTCTCAGTAGCATTATTGGATAATTAATGAGAATGCATTATCCAATAATGCTACTGAGAGTTACAGTGTACCTTTGTCATTTCTGAACCTGTCATATATATATATATATATATATATATATATATATATATATATATATATATATATATAAATATAAAAACCCTGGGCCAGCAGTGTTGAGTGCTTTTGCTTGTTTAGGTAATGCAAGAAATTTTAGAATGTAAGGGATTAAGGGGGAATGTAACATTCTTACCTGGTGTTTTAATCTGCTGACCAGGGAGACAAGACTTATGTTTTAATGCGAAGCTGCATTCATTATCTCCTGAAAATGCTCCACAATAAAATCCATCCAGAACATCACAGACTGTGTTGCTAATTGTGGTACATTTTCTGAAGACATAAAGCCCTTGCCCTGAAAAAGCAGATCACAGGTAAAACAATATTATTTTACTTTAATCTAGTCGAAATAAAAATTATTATACTGAGGAAAATTAATCTCACCTGAATCACAAATTTTGCACTGAGAGCAGCGTTTCAGACCATTAGGTTCATCCATATATGTTTGGTCAACACAAGGCCTGCATGTTGTGCTTGAATCTGATGTGCAGTCTCTCAAAACAATCATACCTTATATTAAGAAAACAACAGTTTTATTAATAAATCTAATTTTTTTAATTATACATGAATAAAAATTTCAACCAAACTTTAAGAAAGTATAAAAAATAAACTATACTTTCAGTTTACTTCAAATGGTCAGCAAGGCCATATGCTTTATTAGTTTGATAAAGAAATTAAGTCTATAAGTAAAACTACCTATTCCACACATGGGACAGCATTCAGCATCGTGACTTTCGTATTCTGCGGGGCCACATTTTTGTCCAGAAGCCATCAGAGACAACAAGACAAAGGTCCTGTAAACACAGTAACAATGAAGTACATAGCGTTACATCTGCAAGACAATATAAAGGGATATACTGTTTTTTTAACCACTGGGTGCTATGGCGATGCCCTGCTGATTCTGATTCATATCGGTCCTTTGTGAATTGTTGCTCAGTGGTTTCGTAGATCAGATTAGGCATAATCTTACGTCACTTCATGCCCCCCCCCCCCCATTTTATATTTATTTACTACAGTGTTATCACAACGCAGAAGCGGATGAAGTGCTCCTGCACCGCTGCATGAAGATGGAACGGTAGATGGAATAATTTTTACTTCATGAAGGTAATATATTTACACTGTGGAAAATAAATGAGACATTTTAATCAAAATAATTATTTGAAAGGAGAAAATTGTTTCCTTTATTTGTTGCCAGCTAGCAGCACAAACATGTAAGTTAATAAAAGCGACAGTCAGGTTCACGGCCGCTAAAAAAACACACACACACATTACACAGTAAACATGACACGGTTACGGTGTCTCATATTTACAACAAAAATCCATGAATAAACACATGAATTACTGTATTTACAGATATGCGCAGTGCAATGCAGTGCATGTCGGTAAAGTGCATAATTAATTGGTCCTGTCGACCAGCCCCTGCGCCGTCACAATATTTAACGCTACGTGTACGCGTATTTATTAGCATCAGTTTTGAATTTATTTTATTAGCAATAAAAACATGTATTGACAATCAGCTGCCAGTGTTGCTAGACTATTTTCACAGGACAGTAAGCACTGATGTTAGAGGGATTCGCAGCTATTCGACGGGCGCTCATGGACAACATAATGAACCGAATATTAAATATCTACACTACAGTCTCTAAAACTGAAACAGCGTCGACTGAAGATACTGGTCTGCTAATCAGCTACAAAGAGGTCCGAGTTGGAAGGGAACCGAAACGAGCATTACACCACTTATTTTGTATTTTCCGAAATATCTGATGAAAACATCGACACGAAGGTTTTTATATAGCAAACGAACTTATCACAATGTCGGCAGGGAAGTTATGTTGATGTTATCATTATTTTAGTGACGGAGAATACACCCATTCGACGTAATTATAACACTGGTACTGTTTTTTTCCCTGTAAGTCGAATTTCACGATGTTTTTTTGTTTAAAAAAAGCCCAGTTTTATTCCCAGTTTGAACTCACCCAGGTACAATACATAACGTAATCCAGGCCATTTCGAAGAAGGAATTTTAGAAATTTACCCGTTTCCGGAAATAAGGCGTCTGTAAGCCGCTTGGGTAAGTCCCTGTGAAAAAAAAAATAAAAACTGAATTCTAGTGGATACAATATCATGTTTCAGATGTATTTGTCAAATTATTTTATGAGGGAAAAGAACCCCATCTAGAATAAGTGTTGATTAAAATAATATTGCACTGATGTTTTTTCTATTTCTGTACTGGCTTTACGTAGGTCAGCTATGAATTTTCCCCACCCTGCTTGTTTTGCAAGATCGTACTTGCGGTTTTAGTTAGAACGGTTTGCTCAAAAAAACTTGAGATGCAAGGAATCATGAGATTCATTCGTACGCGGCTCTTGATAGGATGTTACTGGTGTATCCGTAGATTATATGGATATATCCTTGATATTTGTAGTGGGACAAGAACAACATCCATCGCTGGCTGCGTTCGGTTCTAAAAAGGATGTAGACTTCCCTCCTTTTTTAAAAAAGCTTTTTTTTAATAGTTAAAGCGTGTGACAGTACAGTGGATCGTCAGAAATTACATCAAGCTTTGAGATAGGTTAAAATCATTACAAAGGGACAAGGTCTTGACTGCTTTAGAAGTTTCACAGGATGTAGTCATATATAACAATATGATTTCTTAAACAGTGTGTATGTGGAATTTAAACGTGATTAAAAGCAGGTTGACAATATAACTTTTGTTTGGGCTTAAATTACTGGTCTTGGGGACTGCCAGGAAACATCCGCAGATTTTAATATGAAGTTAGGATCTAGGATTTTGTTTATAAGGTTACTGAGGTCTATCCAAAACAAATAGGAATATTTACATTCCCATGATAGATGAACTATTGTTTCTTCACAGTTACGACCAAAGGAACATGTGGTATTGATATCCTTCTTAAATCGAACAATAGTACAATTAACTGGGTAACAATGATGAAGAATCACATGTATTTCAATGGTGAAATATTTTATATGATTGTCACACCAGACATATGCAAATGTAAAAATATAAATAATTAGAAAATCAAAGCAACCATAATTAAGACCAAAGTAAATTAATGTATTTGGTGAAAATATAAAAATGGGCTCAAAATGCGATGTTCCTCCTTGTAAAAACCAATGGTGAGAGGCAACAGGAATAGAAAGGGCGCTTTTCCACCGCACCAGGTACCGTACTTTCGGTACTTCCACAAAGTACAAAAAGTATGGTACTTTTTTTGTGTCGGTTTTCCGCTTGCGTAAAAACTGGTACCGGCGCCAAATGACATAATCAGTGACCGCCCCTGACTGACATCATTGGAGTGGAGGAGTCTCTGCTTGCTTGCGCCAGGCGGATTGCAGTGGATTGAATACAAAGATTTCTGATCCTAAGATTGGAAGTCACAGTGAAAGTTGGTGGTGAGTCGATTGGGGAGTGGTGTGGGAGGCATCGGCCGACGGCCTGTATAGGTCCGGTAGCGGTGTTTCCCCGCAACTTCTGCATCGGCCACGTTATATCAATTTTAGCAAGATGGCGGGGAAGAGAACGGATGGTATGGAATATAGTGAGCAAGAGGGGACTGGTAGTGATGCGGGGAGAGAAAGTGATTGGGAAGAAGTAAGGAGAGGACATTCAGTAAGGAAGGGTACAAGTCGTAAGAGAAAGAAAAAAGGTGAGGCTAGTGCACCTGGAACGGAAAGTGAAGGTAGGGATGGTGAAGGAGAGTGTCATGTAGAAAGATTGTTTAATGTAGTGGTACGATTTGAAGGAGAGGGAGGAGTTACGAGGATGGACCCACTTAAGTTAACGAAAATAATAAGAGGACAAGTAGGAGAAGTAACATATGCAAGAATCTTGGGAGATGGAAATTTACTTGTAGGTTGTAATAGTGTGGAGCAGATGGAAAAGGCAATGAAGATGAGTAGTATGGGAAAAATTTAAATAGTCACAGTAGTAAGAGTAGGGGAAAGAAGAATGGGTGGCAGTAAGGGGGTAATACACTCACCTAAAGGATTATTAGGAACACCATACTAATACGGTGTTTGACC